AACGGGTTTAAGAGTTTTTAAGAGTTCAAGAGTTTAAAGAGTTTAAGAGTTTTAAGAGTTTTAGCCAAATGCTTTATAATATAGTATAGATAATATAGATATAGATAAGGGTATTTTAGGCATTAAGAATTTTAAGAATTTTAAGATTTTTAAGACTTTTGATAAATCTGCTTAATAAGATAGTATAGATAATATTATACATGAATTTTAATAAATACAATATTAAACTTTTTTTAAATATACATGGGTTGTTTGGTTGTTTTTCCACATGGATGGTGATTTGTCCTGAGCAAGTGAGGAACCCAGTTCACCCGACCAAAACAGGGATGGGGATTCCCTATTGAAACGGGTCCTGGGATCCCTGGTAGACTCAAACCGGGGCCGAGGGATTTACTCAAACCGGGGCCGGTCAGGGATTCCCAGTAGAATCAAACTAACGGATATTATTCATGGGGTTTGACCGGAGATTGATAGAGGTTTGACCGGGGACAGGATGTTAATCCCCGTACCCGCCGGGAACCGGAGGCCGGGGTTTGTTACTACAAACTGGGGTCGGGGATTACAAAACCTGCCCTGTTGCCATGCCTAGTTGTCCATCAAGTCCTGTATGGATGAATAAAACTATTTGTATAGATTAATCTGTTTACATAGATTTGAGAAAGTTTTTGTTTGAAAGGGTATTTTCATAGATGAAATGAACAATTTTTTTAATTGGGAAGGAAAAATTAAAAAAAATTGGCTTTCTACATAAAGCTATTGAATTAGCTACTATTTATATTATTAAATCACTATCAAACAATCATGGATAACTGAACGAATAAGTTGTGACTCCTATTAAGCTCATTACACTGCTAACAAACAAGCCCTTAGTTAGTTTATATTTTCATAACTATTATATGATATGAAAAAACATCATTTGAAAGATAATAAATTTTTTTATCAGTCTTATATGGTTCAGGTTACCAAATATATACACAACTTTTCCTAATAATACTAAGCATTAAACAAACGACTAATCCATCTCAGTCCAGTCTGTCGTATCTTATCAGATCCTCTTACCAAAAGCGTCCTTGTGATATTCGTTGTCGCCACTCGTGAAACATATAAAATATTCCCAAAAGAAATATTCCCTCCCTGCCAAAAACATGCTTGGAAAAAAAAAGCTACAGTTTTAATTAAAATCAAATATTTAAAAGTTATGCTAAAAAAATTAAAAATGATAAATGATCTCATTAGATATCATAATGACTGACTGTTAATTGACCAGAAGAAAGATCATACGAGAATAAAAGTTAAACTAAGAAGCGTAAGAAAAGATCTGGGCGTTAAATCACTTTTATCTCACCACCACCCCATATGAATTGCACTTTATATGGGAATTGATCAAGTGCATCTTGGAGCCTCTCATTAGTGTTAATCCTCATCAGGATTGATTCAAGGGTGAAAATCCCTTCACCGTGACTTTCATTTTTATCGGAGCCCAATCCTAATTGGTAAATACATAAGATTGGAAGAATAGATGATTCAAAAGATTTTTAGACAATTCATTATCCATAATAAAAAGAGAGAATTACATATTTGGTCTCTTGTCTTTACCTGTTTTTCGGTTTCCATCCTTCAAATTCGTAAAATACATTCGTGGTCCAAATTTTGTTTTTCAGAGCCCAATTAAGCCCCTTCCATAAGTCTGGGCTCCACTAACCCTGTCACATGCCCCTCATGTGAGAGGTATTTTGGTCCTTTTACCTAGGGTTGCACATGGGTTGGGTTTAGCCAGGTTGAAGACATTTAAACAACTCAACCCAATGTTTACGGTTTGAAAAATCTCAACTCAACCCAGCCCAAGCAAAACTACAACCCAGCCCAATCCAAAACGTACGATTGGATTGGGTTGAAAATTTTGGTACATTATTTTACAATCTAGCTAAGTATTTGTGTTTAAACGAAGTAAATCAAAATGACAACATAGAAAAAAAGACTAAAAACTTAAAAAAAGTTGAAGGTTCATATAAATAAGAAAGTAAAATTACCGTTCAAATTGTAATATAATTTTAAATATAGCTAATTATGGATTGGTCTAATGTCTAATGCACATATATTAATCAAATACTTAAGAATCATATAAATGCATAGTATAGAAGGGTATCGGATTTATCGGTTTGGGTTGGGTTTAAATAACCCTAACCTAATTCCAGCCCAATAGTTCGGGTTGGCCTAATTTTGTGTCAACTATGTGTTTGGTTAGTTTGGGTTGAGATTTTTTGGGTTTCTTCAGATTGGGTTGGCCAGGTTGGTCGGTATTTTGAGAACCCTTACTGTTACCCCTTCTTCCTCCAACATCTTTACTCTTTTAAGTAAACACACCATCGCCAACTACCACCATTCCGCTCACCACTCTCAAAACAACAATCCAAAAATATAAAACACAACCAAAACTATTCATACAACTCAAATCTCAAGAGCACTGATACAAATCTAAACTTAAGAATATTTAAGAACAACTTTAAAAATCAGATTTGTATTAAGAAACAATAACCCAGATACAAACACAAATCGCTAAATCAAATCTCTAAAACTACAAGTCTCAATCATAAAATTTGATTAAAATTCTCAATTACTAAACCAAACACAAAATTGATAATTTAGTAACATTGAAACACTAATTCAGAAACTAAATCTAAATAAAACAAACAAGAAAACCCCTAAGATCAAAAGTGAAATATAACCTAAATCTATATAAAAACAAGAAAAATCTATGCTTGGATCCGTTGAAACCCACAGTTCTATCACCTGGACGGAGCGAGAGGGAAGGGGGTTCTCCTGGGAAACCTTGCTAGGTGGATGGGGGTTGCAATGCTTGTGATAGGAACTCAAACCGTCCACAACGTGCCATGTGCCCCTCTTTAGGATGAACATTCATCGTGAATAACATATTCAGAATGAACATTCATCGTGAATCACACATTCATGATGAATATGGATATGTGTCACAAATAACACATCCATGAATATGGACGTGTTATTCATCATGAATAATATGTTATACATCCATATTATTTCTGATGAATAATATGCTATGTGTTGCATGGTGGGCGGTTTTCAGGTTCCTAATCAATATTAGGTTCCTAATAGAACCTGCCTCTATAATATATGAGATGCTATTCATTTCATCCGTCTAACATTTCAACATTTTCATCCTCTTATATGGCACGGAAAGATATAAATACATAAAAATGGGTCCTATTTACTCAATACAACACCATTAGATATGACACTTTATTTTTTTGGAGTGTCCTATAAACCCGATTTTAGGGTTGTAGTGAAGGCAAACCATAAGAACCATGTATGATGATAGTTTTCAAGAAGTGTATCATGTCGAATACAAATTAATTCAAAATTTCATTCAACCGCACAACATAAAGATAAAGCAAACCGAATGTGAAGTCTTAAACATAATTGTAGAAGTAAAAGCAAATGTTATCAGAACGGTGGTGCAGTAGAGTCGATTAACAGCCGTTGCTAAAACATATGAGAGAATTAAACACTTTGTTTATCAAACCTTAATTAAGCTATATATTGTAGACTAATATATTTGGGTGATCGACATTGGACCTTTGTTCTCTAAGCTCTTAATTCCTCCTCTTAGATGTAGTAGAATCACAAACATATATCCTGCAAAAATAACAACCTTAAAATAAGCATTCCCATACATACATATAAGATGATTTATTGAATTATGTATAAGATAATAAAAAAAAGTAGATCCAAAGGAAATAAACTACTTACTTCACGGGTTCCAAAGGGCGTGATTTGGAATTAAGTTCCATTCTAATCCTGCGTTTAATTGAAAGGAAAGTCCTAAATTGAAATCCCGAGATAGAAATCTCAGGGCAATTTTTCGTGGAATTTCATAGTATTTGTTTGTAATAATGTTTTAAAATATATTAAAAAGACTTGCTTTGTAATCGGTTAATTAGAGGTGATTTAATTTTTTATATCTATACTATATTATAAAGCATTTGACAAAAACTCTTAAAAAACACTTTTTATACATAAAATATTGTTTACTAATGCATATTACTTAACACTCAAGATTACAAGTAGATTATGCGTAAGTACAACTTATTAAAGGTTCATATATTCGTGTAACTAACTGCAGATAAACATAATCAAATACATAATAAACATATCATTTTAAATATAAAAATTCTAAAATATAATTACGATAATATTGAGTTCTAACAAAATACTTAATTATTATCTTTATAAAATGTTATATTGTTAAACCAAAAATAAATTATTTCATTATTAAACTTAAATTAAATTACAATAAAAAGGTAAATTAAAAAAATTATATAAAAAATAAGGACTTTTAATTAGTTGATTTAATATTAACGTTGATATTTTTTTTTTCAAAATTTTATGATATCTTCAAATTTATATTTTATACAAAAATAAAATCATTATTGTTTTCTAAAAAATACATAAAATCATATTATAACATCGACATAGACAAAGAATAAAATAGAACATTAACATCGGGATGTATCTCGCTGCATTACGCAAGTACCCTTCCAGTAATTATCTATAATTTGCTTTCGTAAATATTCAATTTAATCTAAATCAAGCCCAACAAAGGTTTCAAAATCTTTCCAGATCCAAATCCCTCGAAAACTTTTTGAGGTTATGTCACACTAATCAAGGAATGAAGAATTGGCTTTTTGAATGATTATAACTCAGAAAATTTTGTTGCAAACTAACCATAGTTCTTGTAAAAATGCCAAAACGATGCTAGTTTTCAAGAACGGGTGAACTTGGACAAAATTCACCGATGTAAATGCAACAATATCCTTAGTAGTTGTACATGGCACTTGTGACAAAAATCGCCCGTTCTTGCAAAACTGTAGCGTTCGTTTGTATTTTCACAAGAACGACGGTTTTATTTGCAACAAAAGACCAAGTACAATGGTTGAAGTCATTAAGTAATGATAACAAGAGTTCAGAAACAAAAGAGAGAAAACTAGACCTGTGCATCTTACATGTTTATGATTAGGGATCCAAGTAGACGATTTCTGCTCTTGGTGAGGCTCGAGGGAACCGCATAACGTCCTTAGCGATGTTAAGCCTTTTAGAAGCATCACAAGCTGCACTTGGCTGAATAGTCATCTTATTGATAGAAGGGGAATGAGCAAGTAACAGCTTTATAAAAAGCAGTTCAGTTTTCGATCCTTCTAAACCTCTTATGTCCACAATTTGCAACTGATTCAACGTTCGACGCAAGCAGTTACGAGATCCCAAATGATTTAAAGCCTGTTGTTCATCATATTGAATGATCTGAGGCTCCTGAAAAGATGAAGAATTACATCTACAATTTAGCATCAAACTCTTGTACCATATGAACCAAAAGAGAACCGCTTTACGCTCTATACTTACCATCGGCACATTCACGATACATAGTCTTACTAGATTCGGTGAGGTCTGAAGCAAACTAAGAGCACTAAGAAGTTGTTCCATATCATTAAGTTGAAAATTTATAAACCACAAACGATTTAAGCTATTGTCTGCATGAGGAAGCAGATTCAGCATTCTGTCTGCACTCAAAAACTACAAGGCTAAAGTGAGATTGAGATACCATTATAACCCAAAAAAGGTGAGAACTAAGCATTAAAAGTGTTACCTTGATGAAATGACCATCGATGAAAAACTGTTGAACATTGCGCAAGATACTTAACAACCTGGCCAGATTCATGTATTCGACTCGTAGAAAATTTTCTAAGGGTCTCCGTAGAGTTATACCAACCACGGTTAGGCTTGGATTATTCGCTAACCGGCACAACATGGCATCAGGGCAGGTGACGAGAGACAGACACTGCAGGTTCGGAGCATTGATGTCAAGATTGTAGACATGTGTGCATGAGTGCAAGGTTAGCTTCCGAAGTCGTGGTAGATTGACCATAGCTCCACTGAAGTTAGTCCCGAAAACAACATTCCTGAGAAAAACATCTTCAAGATATGGAAATCCTACAAACCCGAGTGGCGACTTGAAGATACAGTTCGCGAGTTTCAAGTTTCTCAATTCCGAGCAAGAAAACACATGAGATGGAAGTAGATAAAGCCAATTCGCATTAATCAGGACGAGTTCCCTGACACCGTTTCTTGATAGGAATAACATCCATTGATCCACTTCTTGGAAGCTATCAAGAAACATATTTGGTATATAGAGAGTTAATTTCGATATAGGGCGAGGGTGAAGGATCAAGACTTGGTTTACGATCCTTATGAACCCATTAAGACCGAAAGCTCCATATTTTACAATCTTTTTGGCGAATTCCTCGTCAAGGACCAACGAAGTCATTGTAGTCCATTTGTACCTCCACCTTTTCGATAGAACGCTTGTCCTTACGGCATCTTGAACAGCGAGACGCTCTAGGATTGAGCCAATCAAATGCTCTGGCAGGTTACTGATTCTATCCCCTTCAACACAAGTTAGAAACCTTCTTTTATGATTGTCTGTCATTAGATTCAATAAGATCAGGCCCAATTTAGTTAAAAAAAAAACGTAAGGCAATAAGAAAAATGATAAACAAGAAGTTGGGAATGATAACTTTCGTTACATGAGACCGATGTTACATATGGATAGAGGGATTAACGAGGATGTTCGTTACGGATGAAATGAGGCATGGGCGAACCCACGAAGGATGGCCTAGGGGGGTCTCGTGTGCACCCCGTCAACCGATTTTTGCATTTAGAATTTTATTGGGGTATGAAAGGTGCACGTACGTGAAAACTTTGAGGGGTGCTACGGGATATTAGAAAATATAAGGGACATCAACAAAAAAACCGAATAGCCCCTCAAAATCAACCTAAAAATCGAAAGAAGTAAGAATCTCTTGAAACAGTCGACTTTCGCATAAGATCTAGTCATGGTCTTGTTCAAAGGATCTATCCTATTTAAAAAGTGTATTTATCACCCAAATCGACGCAACTGACTTTTCCCAAGTTCAAATCGCATTGCTTTTCCAAAAAGATCAGATCGCGACTTTGAGGGTCTCTAATCCACCTTAAAGGAACCACAAAGGTTGTGGCGTAGTGGTTGAGGCCCTAGGGAGTGTGGTGGAATATCCGATCTGCACATCGTTCAATTCCAGTGTCGTAGCCACTGAGATTATCAGGGCTCATCATTTCTTGCGGTCAAGATTTACCAGAAATAGTTGAGGCATAGCCTGAGACACCCTTCAAAAAATCTACCTAAAGGTGCACGCAACAAATATTCTGGGTCCTCCGCTGAAATGACGTAAGGCGCGGGGAGCTAATGTTTGAAAGGTGATTTGTCATAATTCTTGTCAAAATCGGTTTCTTGATTTTGTTTTCCAATCGATAGAAATACCCAAAACGGAGTTTACGAATGCAAATGGAATGAAGAAAGATGTGATAATTAACAAACACGATTCGGACAAAATCTACGACTTAAAATCGGTAGAGCAATATGGAAAGATATCAAGATTTCTCATTTGGATTTCAGATGATCAAAGTTTCATGAAGTAGAAACTTACCCATGTTGAGCAATTGTAAGTAGCTGCCTTCAGACATTGAAGGATTGGGAATTAGAAGAAGAAGAGTTGAGAGAGAGGTTGTAAACAACCAAGTAAGAGATCATATCTCTGATTTACATGGAAAAGAGAAGGATTCAATTTATAATGCTCACCATCCCAATATAATATTATATATTACAATTTTATATATATATTATAATTTATATTATACGATATATATTTATAATATATAATATACGGGACCTTTTTATGAACTATCTAAATCGTGAGATCTTTGACTATCGGATGCTGTTTCATATGATTTCTTTTCATCTATGGATATAATTTAATAGTGGTAACAACAAGGGTGGTGTCTAATTGGTTTGAGCTTGATTCCAAAGTTCAAAAGTACCCGGAGGTCCCAGGTTCATATCCGAGGAGGAATAAAAATCCCTTGTGGCCACGGAGGTTCAAATGTGATGACTCCAGGCTATCTGCAAAGCAGGTGGTCGTCCTGGGATTAGTCGTCTCGTATAGCGGGTTGGATATCCAAGTTAATAAAAAAATAATAATAATAATAGTGGTAAACGTATATATGTTTCACAATTTATTTGTTTCACATGTACTTGGTTTACAACATGAACCTTTTTAGTGTGTTTGTGAAACGAAAAATGCACGTAAAAAGGTTTTATATTGTGAATCAAATACATTATGAAACAAATATATGTTAATCAATAAATAAATATTATATTTAGGTGAGAAAAAACCATGTGTAATATATTACAAAAATATTATACTTAAAGTTAGAAGTTTTTTCACAAATCTCACAAATTTTGGAGTTCTCAAATGATTAAACCTATGTATCATGTATTAAAAAAATTATATATTAAACCACAAGGGTGGTGCATGATTGGTTTGAACTTGACTCCAAAAGTTAAAAGTATCAGGAGGTCTCAGGTTCAAATCCAAGAAGGAATAAAAATCCCCTTGTGCCCACAGAGGTTCAAATGGGTGACTCTGGGCTATCTGCAAAGCAGGTGATTAATCGGCTCGTATAGCTGGTTGGATATCCAGATTAATCAAAAAAAATTTATATATTACATATATATACATATATACTAAATATAATATATATATTTAAAAATATTATGCATAATAAATTGTATTAAAAAATATATGATATATCACATATAACATAATATTACACATGAATTATAATAAATACGATATTAAACTTATTTAAATGTTTAAAAGTTGTTTGGTTGATTTTCCATTAAGTCTTGTATGGATGGATAAAGTTGTTTTTGTTGATTAACCTCTGATATTGAGAAGATTTTTATTTGGTAGAGTTTTTTCATAGATGGAATGAACAGTTTTTTAATTGGGAAGGACAAATTTTTTTTTTTTGACTTTCTGCATAAAGCTCCTCCTATAAGTTTTATGAATTAGTCACTTTGTATATTATTAAGTCACTACCAAACAGTAATGTATAGTTGATCGAATAAGTTGTGACTCTCATTAAGCTCATTAAGCTGCTAACAAATAAACCACTAGTTAGTTTATGTTTTCATAACTATTATATGATTTGAAAAAACATCATTTGAAAGATAAATCTTTTATCTGTCTTATATTGTTCAAATTACCAAATATATACACAACTTTTTCTATTAATACTAAACATTAAACAGATGACTAATTCATCTCAGTCCAGCCTGTCGTATCTCATCAGATCCTCTTACCAAACGCGTTCTTGCGATATTCGTTATCGAGATTCGTGAAGCATATAAAATATTCCAAAAGAAATATTCCCTCCCTGTCGAAAACATACATGGAATTTTTTTTTATCTACGGTTTTAATTATACATCAAATATTTAAAATTTATGATAAAACAAATTAAAAATGAATCTGGACTCTTGATCATTTTTTATTTCATCATCATCCCATGAATTGATCCGATGCATCTCGCAACATCTCATTTATGTTGATCTTCAATCAGGATTGATCTGAGGATGAAGATCCCTTCTCATCATAACTTGCACTTTTGATCGGAATCCAACCCTAATTGGTAAATACATAAGATTGGAAGAATAGATAATTCAAAAGAATTTTATATAGTCTTTTATCCATGATAAAAAGAGTGAATTACATTTATGGTCCTTGTCTTTACCTGTTTTCTGGTTTTCGTCCCTCGAACTTTGTAAAATACATTGATGGTCCAAGTTTTGTGTTTCAGATTCTAAATAAGTCCCTCCCATTAACCCGTTCGTTTGAGCTCCATTAACCCTGTCACGTGCCCCTCACGTGAGAGATATGTTGGTCTTTTTACCCCTTCTTCTTCCAACATCTTTCCTCTTTAACTAAGAACACCACCGCCAACTACCACCATTTCCAGCCTAGTAGTAAAGGCTTGGGCATGACATAGTCATGAACCCAAGTTCGAGCCCTGGGAGGGGAGTGTTGGCGACATTTAAATGGGGTCATGTTTAGCCTTCAAAATTGCCGGGGATTAGTCGGGCGTTGGCCCGGACACCCTTACAAAAAAAAAAAAAAAAACTACCACCATTGCCACCCATTACTCTAAAAAGAACAATCTAAAATATGAAACACAATCATAACCATTCATATAACTCAAATCTCAAGAAGACTCGTACAAATCTAAACTTAAGAACATTTAAAAACAATTTTAAAAATCAGATTCGTATCAAGAAACAACCACCCAAATACAAACACAAATACCTAAACCAGATCTTCAAAATTATAAATCTCAATCACAAAATTGTGATTAAAAATATAAATTACAAGTCCAAACACAATTGATAGTTTAGGAACATTGAACACTAATTCAAAAACTAAATCTAAAATAAAAAACAAAAAAAAACCTAAAATAAAAAGTGGATCATAACCTAAATTTATATAAAAACAAGAAAAACCTTTGTTTGGATCCATTGAAACCCGCATATGTATCATACAGACGGTGTTGGGGAAGGGGGTTCGAATGAGAAATCTTGCTAGGTGGATGGGGCAACACCTATTACTGTGATAGGGAGGGTAGAGGAAGAAGACAAGATGTGAATGGATTTTTAGTTATACAGGGATTCATCTTCCTTTGTTCTGCACAGATCTATGGAAGGATTTGTTTTGTTGACATACGGTGTCAGGCTTCCTCGGAGAGACAGTGTCGGGGGAAAGGGGTTTGCGTAAGAAACTTTGCCATTGATAAGKGGTCGTAACGCATGTGATATGGATCGAAGAAGAAGAAGAAGAAGAAAAAGGGACGTGTATGCATTTTTAGTTGGTGGTGATGTATTTTTAATTCAAAAAAGATGAGAAAAATCTATCTAAATTGGTGTTTTTTTTTTAATCTTAGGTCGACGATGAAGATGCAGCGCGATGGGGATGGGTTGGGTGGTCTTTTAGTTTTTTTAATTCAAAGCACTTGTTAAAAAAAATACAGAAAAGGATAAAATGATGAAATTGTCACTTACGTGACAGGCACATGATGCATTTAACAGAGCCCAGACTAACAAAGTAAATGGGAAGGACTTATATGGGCTCTGAAACACGAAATTTGGGCCAAGAGTGTACTTTTACGAATTCGTGGGATGGAAACTAGAAAGCAGGTATAGATGAGGGACAAAAAATGTAATTCACTCTTATATAAACTATTTGATCGTCTTATCAGTTTTGCTTAAAAATAGTTAATTTTGATTTTATATCTTATTGATTTGGGAAAAAGCTGATTACCGACAATCATCTACGTGTGATTACAAGGTGAGTTATATTTCAAAGATTTATTTGAAATATTTTATATGGGACCGTACGGTTTCATACTTGGTTGTTATGAAATTGATTATATGTTATGTTTAGCATAATATTGAGATTTGATATGTTATCATCAACTGTTATAATAAAGGTGGTATAATCATGAAGTTGAGTATATT